TGGCACATTTGTATATTTAATTTATCAGTAAGGTCCCAACATCTATGTTTTAAAAATTTTCTTTTGTACCTAGAAATGGCACATTTTTATATCTTATTTATCAAAAAAGTCCCAAAATCGCTAGAACGTAATTTTGCGGAACGTTATAGATTTTTTTTCTATATTTTCTTTCTCAAAAGGGTCCCAAAATCGCTAAAAGCACATTTTTTTTTAATTTGTGAAAGATTTTTCGTACAAGTGGTGTAACTGCGAAAAAGGTTAAAGAAATACAAAAATAACAATTCTGCAGGTATCCAAAAATGGCACTCTATTTTACAAAAGTCGAAGGACGAAAACGTCACAAATGTTAAATGAATGTTATTTTTTTTGTATCATGATTGTTACCTAAAAATACACAAGTGACCAAAAATGGCACCACGACAAGTTCAAGAAAATTTTAAATGTTTGTGTATTTTAAAAATTTTCTTTGTTATAAATATAGACAGGTGCTCAAAAATGGCACATTTGTATATTTAATTGATCAATAAGGTCCCAACATCTGTGTTTTAAAAATTTTCTTTTCTACCTAGAAATGGCACATTTTTATCTTTTATTTATCAAAAAAGTCCCACAATCGCTACAACGTAATTTTGAGGAACGTTATAGATTTTTTTCTATATTTTCTTTTTCAAAAGGGTCCCAAAATCACCAAAAACACATTTTTTTTTAATTTGTGAAAGATAATTTTTCGTACAAGTGGTGTAATTGCGAAAAAGGTTAAAGAAATACAAAAATAACAATTCTACAGGTACCCAAAAATAGCACTCCATTTTACAAAAGTCGAAGGACGAAGACGTCACAAATTTTAAATGAATGTAAATTTTTTGTATCATGATTTCTACCTAAAATTACACCGGTGACCAAAAATGGCACCACGACAAGTTCAAGAAAATTTTAAATGTTTGTGTATGTTAAAAATTTTCTTTGTTATAAATATAGACAGGTGCTCAAAAATGGCACATTTGTATATTTAATTTATCAATAAGGTCCCAACATCTGTGTTTTAAAAATTTTCTTTTCTACCTAGAAATGGCACATTTTTATCTTTTATTTATCAAAAAAGTCCCACAATCGCTACAACGTAATTTTGAGGAACGTTATAGATTTTTTTCTATATTTTCTTTTTCAAAAGGGTCCCAAAATCACTAAAAGCACATTTTTTTTTAATTTGTGAAAGATTTTTCGTACAAGTGGTGTAACTGCGAAAAAGGTTAAAGAAATACAAAAATAACAATTCTACAGGTACCCAAAAATGGCACCCAATTTTACAAAAGTCGAAGGACAAAACGTCACAAATTTTAAATTAATGTTATTTTTTTGTATCATGATTTCTACCTAAAATTACACCAGTGACCAAAAATGGCACCACGACAAGTTCAAGAAAATTTTAAATGTTTGTGTATTTTAAAAATTTTCTTTGTTATAAATATATACAGGTGCTCAAAAATGGCACATTTTTATATTTAATTTATCAATAAGGTCCCAACATCTGTGTTTTAAAAATTTTCTTTTGTACCTAGAAATGAGACATTTTTATCTTTTATTTATCAAAAAAGTCCCAAAATCGCTAGAACGTAATTTTGCGGAACGTTATAGATTTTTTTTCTATATTTTCTTTCTCAAAAGGGTCCCAAAATCGCTAAAAGCACATTTTTTTTTAATTTGTGAAAGATTTTTCGTACAAGTGGTGTAACTGCGAAAAAGGTTAAAGAAATACAAAAATAACAATTCTGCAGGTATCCAAAAATGGCACTCTATTTTACAAAAGTCGAAGGACGAAAACGTCACAAATGTTAAATGAATGTTATTTTTTTTGTATCATGATTGTTACCTAAAAATACACAAGTGACCAAAAATGGCACCACGACAAGTTCAAGAAAATTTTAAATGTTTGTGTATTTTAAAAATTTTCTTTGTTATAAATATAGACAGGTGCTCAAAAATGGCACATTTGTATATTTAATTGATCAATAAGGTCCCAACATCTGTGTTTTAAAAATTTTCTTTTCTACCTAGAAATGGCACATTTTTATCTTTTATTTAAAAAAAAAGTCCCACAATCGCTACAACGTAATTTTGAGGAACGTTATAGATTTTTTTCTATATTTTCTTTTTCAAAAGGGTCCCAAAATCACCAAAAACACATTTTTTTTTAATTTGTGAAAGATAATTTTTCGTACAAGTGGTGTAATTGCGAAAAAGGTTAAAGAAATACAAAAATAACAATTCTACAAGTACCCAAAAATAGCACTCCATTTTACAAAAGTCGAAGGACGAAGACGTCACAAATTTTAAATGAATGTAAATTTTTTGTATCATGATTTCTACCTAAAATTACACCGGTGACCAAAAATGGCACCACGACAAGTTCAAGAAAATTTTAAATGTTTGTGTATGTTAAAAATTTTCTTTGTTATAAATATAGACAGGTGCTCAAAAATGGCACATTTGTATATTTAATTTATCAATAAGGTCCCAACATCTGTGTTTTAAAAATTTTCTTTTCTACCTAGAAATGGCACATTTTTATCTTTTATTTATCAAAAAAGTCCCACAATCGCTACAACGTAATTTTGAGGAACGTTATAGATTTTTTTCTATATTTTCTTTTTCAAAAGGGTCCCAAAATCACTAAAAGCACATTTTTTTTTAATTTGTGAAAGATTTTTCGTACAAGTGGTGTAACTGCGAAAAAGGTTAAAGAAATACAAAAATAACAATTCTACAGGTACCCAAAAATGGCACCCAATTTTACAAAAGTCGAAGGACAAAACGTCACAAATTTTAAATTAATGTTATTTTTTTGTATCATGATTTCTACCTAAAATTACACCAGTGACCAAAAATGGCACCACGACAAGTTCAAGAAAATTTTAAATGTTTGTGTATTTTAAAAATTTTCTTTGTTATAAATATATACAGGTGCTCAAAAATGGCACATTTTTATATTTAATTTATCAATAAGGTCCCAACATCTGTGTTTTAAAAATTTTCTTTTGTACCTAGAAATGAGACATTTTTATCTTTTATTTATCAAAAAAGTCCCAAAATCGCTAGAACGTAATTTTGCGGAACGTTATAGATTTTCTTTTTTCTATATTTTCTTTCTCAAAAGGGTTCCAAAATCACTAAAAGCACATTTTTTTTTAATTTGTGAAAGATTTTTCGTACAAGTGGTGTAACTGCGAAAAAGGTTAAAGAAATACAAAAATAACAATTCTGCAGGTACCCAAAAATGGCACTCTATTTTACAAAAGTCGAAGGACGAAAACGTCACAAATTTTAAATGAATGTAATTTTTTTCTGCATCATGATTGCTACCTAAAAATACACAGGTGACCAAAAATGGCACCACGCCAAGTTCAAGAATACTTTAAATTTCTGTGTATTTTAAAAAATTTCTTTGTTATGAAGATATACAGGTGCCCAAAAATGGCACATTTTTATATTTAATTTAGCAATAAGCTCCCAAAATCTGTGTGTTTTAAAAATTTTCTTTCGTATCTAGAAACGGCACATTTTTGTATTTCATTTATCAAAAAAGTCCCAAAATTGCTACAACGTAATTTTACGGAACGTTATAGATTTTTTTTTCTATATTTTCTTTGTCAAAAGGGTTCCAAAATCACTAAACAAACTTTTTTTTTTTAATTTGTGAAAGATAATTTTTCGTACAAGTGGTGTAACTGCGAAAAAGGTTAAAGAAATACAAAAATAACAATTCTGCAGGTACCCAAAAATGACACTCCATTTTACAAAAGTCGGAAGGACGAAAACATCACAAATTTTAAATGAATGTTATTTTTTTTTGTATCATGATTGTTACCAAAAAATACACAGGTGACCAAAAATAGCACCACGACAAGTTCAAGAACATTTTAAGTGTTTGTGTATTTTAAAAATTTTCTTTGTTATGAAGATATACAGGTGCCCAAAAATGGCACATTTTTATGTTTTATTTATTTATTCCTTCATCTTTTGATGTGGTTTCGCGTGGGTAAATGAAACTCAATAAACTGTTAGTTTTTTTTTTAATTTGTGATAGGTTAAGGTTTTAACTGTCAACGAAAGTTAAATAAAACACAAAAATGATAATTATACAGGTGCCCAAAATTGGCACCAGATATTTAACAGAGCATTATGGACTTCTCCACATATTTAAAAAAATGTTTACACTAGACCGCAAGAATTTTCGTTCATCGTCTGTCAAAATTTGATTAACGGCACATAATTTGGAAGAATCTGGTCGTAAACACCCATTAATTTCCTAGCGGTGAACGGCACGTATTTAATAATCTTATGGAAAGAACCCTGAACTATGTGTAGTCTAAAAATAATCCTCCGGAGACTTTGTCAAGCAATAAAAAACCGCGGAAATCAACAACGGAAGCTCGAACAAAACCTGTCATTAATCATAACATTTGCAATTCACGTTAATGGGTCCAAACTGCACACATAATGGATTTTTAAACATGTACTACAAAAAAAAATCAACAACAATGTGCACGATCATCCCATTTAAAAAATTATTCCTTCGACCAGTCCACAAATCGCGCACTAATCGCGCGCAAACTTTCCACATTGTAGAAAAACGCGGCCTAGTTTCGCAAGTGTCCAACTCGCGTCACCCCGGCCCAATCTGGGTCCAGATCGCAAAAATCGCTACCACGACCAGAACCATGACAGATTCGCAATTTCCCACGCGCGGTTTGCATTCGCGGCACGTAGCCGAAACGCAACGTCGGCCCGAAAAGTGACCCCTGCGGGCCGCCGACTTTCCACGTTTGTTTACTGTGTAATTGCACAAGCAATGTGATGGTTGTGCAAAAATCGATTGGACACGCGTTGGACGTTTGACGACCGATGCTCGAGGCATCGCTAACGCCGGATGACCTTTCGGTGGTATTTGTATGGCGATGAGAGTTCGAAGGTGATTGATGGGAGATGCGGATGAGACTTACCCATTTGAAGAGAAAGTCGTAGGGACGGATGACTAGGGCGAAAATTCCGCCGAAGATGCCCATGAGGCCGAGGAAGGCGATTAGGAGCGGTGCTGGAAGGAGAATTTTGAGATTAGTTTTTGATTTTTTTGGGAGGGTGCCCAAAATTTGGTGGTTTGTTGGTAATTTACCTACACCATTTTTGAGGGCTAGTTCGCTTCGTTGCGTTGTTTGTGGGGTTTGGTCGAAAATAGGGGAACGTTTAAAGGGACTAATATTAAAATTGAAAAAAATCATCAGTGTTACCCAAAAATGGCCCTGTTTCGAAAATTGGACTTCGCAGGTTCGATTTTTTTCAATTTTCATGGGGCAAACTACTTTTAATAAGCTTGTTTTCTGAAATTTAAATGGGTTTGGAAAATGGCACCCCATTGATTAAATTTAATTTTCGGTATAGTTGAAAATAATTTAATCGAAAAATGCCGAGAGTTATAAAACTGATATTCCTAGAAATAGTTTTTTCAAGTAGCTGTGTTTGAATGAAATTTTTTGTCGGAGTTACCTAAAAATGGTAACTCAAACCACATTTTTTTCATTTTTACTCAGGAGATTTGAACTCATCGAAAATAATTTTAATAATTTAATAAAGACGCGGAAGTAAAAATAATCAAACTTGCGTAATTTTGAAAAATCAGGTACCCAAAGATGGCCCCCGGTTCGAAAACTGGACTATCGAGGTTTGATTTTTTTCATTTTCGTGGTGAAAACAAGTTTGAATAAGACTATTTTATAGAACTTTTTCCTTTGAAAAAAATCAAATAGGTTCCGAAAATGGCACCGCACTGATTTACTTCAATTTTTAGTACAGTTAAATTGAATTTAATCGAAAAATGCGCAAAATTATAGAACCATGATATTCATAGAAATAGGTCTTTTAAAAGTAGCTAATTTGGATGATTTTTTTCCATAATTACCTAAAAATGGCACATCAAACAACACTTTTTCCACTTTTATTCATGTGATTTTAACATTGATTTTAATAATTCAATACGGACGTAGAAATTAAAAAATCAAACTTGTATAACTTTGAAAAATTAGGTACCCAAAAATGGCCCCCGTTTCGAAAGCTGGACTTTCGAGGTTTGATTTTTTTCATTTTCGTAGTGAAAACAAGTTTGAATAAGACTATTTTATAGAACTTTTTCTTTTCCTTTGAAAAAAATCAAATAGGTTTCGAAAATGGCACCGCACTGATTTACTTTAATTTTCAGTACAGCTAAATAGAATTTAATCGAAAAATGCCCAAAATTATAAAACCGTGATATTCATAGAAATAAGTTTTTTAAAAGTAGCTAATTTGAATGATTTTCTTCCATAATTACCTAAAAATGGCACCTCAAACAACATTTTTTTCACTTTTATTCAAGTGATTTTAACATTGGTTTTAAAAATTCAATACGGACGTAGAAATTAAAAAATCAAACTTGTATAATTTTGAAAAATCAGGTACCCAAAAATGGTTCCCGTTTCGAAAACTGGACTTTTGAGGTTTGATTTTTTTCATTTTCGTGGTGAAAACAAGTTTGAATAAGACTATTTTATAGAGCTTTTTCCTTCGAAAAAAATCAAATAGGTTCCGAGAATGGCACCGCACTGATTTACTTTAATTTTCAGTACAGTTAAACAGAATTTAATAGAAAAATGCCCAAAATTATAAAACCGTGATATTCATAGAAATAGATTTGTCAAAAGTAGCTAATTTGAATGATTTTTTTTCCATAATTACCTAAAAATGTCACCTCAAACAACAATTTTTTCACTTTTATACAAGAGGTTTTAACATTGATTTTAATAATTCAATACGGACGCAGAAGCAAAAATAATCAATCTTGTGTAATTTTAAAGAATCCGGTACCCAAAAATGGCCCTTGTTCCGAAAATTGGACTTTGCAGGTTCGATTTTTTTTATTTTCATGGGACAAACTACTTTTAATAAGCTCGTTTTTGAAACTTTTTCTTTTGAAAAAATTGAAATGGGTTTGGAAAATGGCACCTTATGAATTAAATTTAATTTTTGAAACAGTAGAAAACAATTTAATCGAAAAATGCCCAGAGTTATAAAACTATGATATTCCTAGAAATAGTTTTTTAAGCAGCTTATATTTGAATGAAATTTTTTGTAGGAAAAAAAAACTAAAAATGGCACCTAAAAGAACACTTTTTCCGTTTTTCTTCAGGAGGTTTTAACTCATCGAAAATGATTTTAATAATTTAATAAGGACGGTGAAGTAAAAAAATTAAACTTTTGTAATTTTGAAAAATTAGGTACCCAAAAATGGCCTCTTTTCGAAAATTGGACTTTACAGGTTCGATTTTTTAAGAATTTTCATTGTACAAACAAGTTTTATTAAGATTATTTACTAAAATTTTTCTTTTAAAAGACGGAAGTAGGCTCCGAAAATGGCACTTCACTGATTTATTTTAAATTTCAGTACATTAAAAAAGAATTTCTTCGAAAAATGCCCACGATTGTAAAACTATAATATCCGTAGAAATAGGTTTTACGAAGTAGCTACATTTGAACGATATTTTTGTTTCAGAATTACCTAAAAATGGCACATAAAACATATTTTTTCAGTTTTATTCAAGATATTTTAACTCATCTGAAACAATTCCAATAATTAATAAGAATGGAGAAGTAAAAATTATCAAATTTGTGAAATTTCGAAAAATATGGTACCCAAAAATGGCCCCTTTTCGAAAATTGGACTTTACAGGTTCGATTTTTTAATAATTTTCATTTTACAAACAAGTTTTATTAAGATTATTTAGTAAAATTTTTCCTTTAAAACTACGAAATTAGGCTCCGAAAATGGCACTTCACTGATTTATTTTAAATTTCAGTACATTAAAAAAGAATTTCTTCGAAAAATGCCCAGCATTGTAAAACTATAATATGCCTATAGGTTTTTACGAAGTAGCTACATTTGAACGATATTTTTGTTTCAGAATTACCTAAAAATGGCACATAAAACAGCTTTTTTCAGTTTTATTCAAGAGATTTTAACTCATCTGAAACAATTTCAATAATTAATAAGACTGAAGAAGTAAAAATTATCAAACTTGTGAAATTTTGAAAAATCAGGTACCCAAAAATGGCCCCTTTTCGAAAATTGGACTTTACAGGTTCGATTTTTTAATAATTTTCATTTTACAAACAAGTTTTATTAAGATTATTTAGTAAAATTTTTCCTTTAAAACAACGAAATTAGGCTCCGAAAATGGCACTTCACTGATATATTTTAAATTTCAGTACATTAAAAAAGAATTTCTTCGAAAAATGCCCACGATTGTAAAACTATAATATCCGTAGAAATAGGTTTTTACGAAGTAGCTACATTTGAACGATATTTTTGTTTCAGAATTACCTAAAAATGGCACATAAAACAGCTTTTTTCAGTTTTATTCAAGATATTTTAACTCATTTGAAACAATTTCAATAATTAATAAGAATGAGGAAGTAAAAATTATCAAACTTGTGAAATTTTGAAAAATATGGTATTCAAAAATGGCCCCTTTTCGAAAATTGGACTTTACAGGTTCGATTTTTTAATAATTTTCATTGTACAAACAAGTTTTATTAAGATTATTTACTAAAATTTTTCTTTTAAAAGACGGAAGTAGGCTCCGAAAATGGCACTTCAATGATTTATTTTAAATTTCATTTATTTTAAATTTCAGTACATTAAAAAAGAATTTCTTCGAAAAATGCCCACGATTGTAAAACTATAATATCCGTAGAAATAGGTTTTTACGAAGTAGCTACATTTGAACGATATTTTTGTTTCAGAATTACTTAAAAATGGCACATAAAACAGCTTTTTTCAGTTTTATTCAAGAGATTTTAACTCATCTGAAACAATTTCAATAATTAATAAGAATGGAGAAGTAAAAATTATCAAATTTGTGAAATTTTGAAAAATATGGTACCCAAAAATGGCCCCTTTTCGAAAATTGGACTTTACAGGTTCGATTTTTTAATAATTTTCATTTTACAAACAAGTTTTATTAAGATTATTTACTAAAATTTTTCTTTTAAAAGAACGGAAGTAGGCTCCGAAAATGGCACTTCACTGATTTATTTTAAATTTGAGTACATCAAAAAAGAATTTACTGGAAAAATGCCCAGGATTATAAAATTATAATATCCATAATAGGTTTTTACGAAGTAGCTACATTTGAACGATATTTTTGTTTCAGAATTACCTAAAAATGGCACATAAAACAGCTTTTTTCAGTTTTATTCAAGAGATTTTAACTCATCTGAAACAATTTCAATAATTAATAAGACTGAAGAAGTAAAAATTATCAAACTTGTGAAATTTTGAAAAATCAGGTACCCAAAAATGGCCCCTTTTCGAAAATTGGACTTTACAGGTTCGATTTTTTAATAATTTTCATTTTACAAACAAGTTTTATTAAGATTATTTAGTAAAATTTTTCCTTTAAAACAACGAAATTAGGCTCCGAAAATGGCACTTCACTGATATATTTTAAATTTCAGTACATTAAAAAAGAATTTCTTCGAAAAATGCCCACGATTGTAAAACTATAATATCCGTAGAAATAGGTTTTTACGAAGTAGCTACATTTGAACGATATTTTTGTTTCAGAATTACCTAAAAATGGCACATAAAACATCTTTTTTCAGTTTTATTCAAGATATTTTAACTCATCTGAAACAATTCCAATAATTAATAAGAATGGAGAAGTAAAAATTATCAAACTTGTGAAATTTTGAAAAATATGGTACCCAAAAATGGCCCCTTTTCGAAAATTAGACTTTACAGGTTCGATTTTTTAATAATTTTCATTTTACAAACAAGTTTTATTAAGATTATTTAGTAAAATTTTTCCTTTAAAACAACGAAATTAAGCTCCGAAAATGGCACTTCACTGATTTATTTTAAATTTCAGTACATTAAAAAAGAATTTACTCGAAAAATGCCCACAATTATTAAACTATAATATCCATAGAAATAGGTTTTTACGAAGTAGCTACATTTGAACGATATTTTTTTTCAGAATTACCTAAAAATGGCACATAAAACAG